TGCCCATGCACTCTGCCCCAGGGCCAGACTCGTGGAACTCCGTGTTCATCAAGAACTGCAAGAAGCCCCTATCACGAGCCTTTACCATCCTATGGAGAGGGAGCATGGACACGGGGGTCGTCCCAAAGTTACTAAAAACAACAGACATAGCCCCACTCCACAAAGGGGGCAGTAAAGCAACAGCAAAGAACTACAGACCGATAGCACTAACATCCCATATCATAAAAATCTTTGAAAGGGTCCTAAGAAGCAAGATCACCACCCATCTAGAAACCCATCAGTTACACAACCCAGGGCAACATGGGTTTAGAACAGGTCGCTCCTGTCTGTCTCAACTATTGGATCACTACGACAAGGTCCTAGATGCACTAGAAGACAAAAAGAATGCAGATGTAATATATACAGACTTTGCAAAACCCTTCGACAAGTTTGACCATGGCGTAATAGCGCACAAAATGCGTACTAAAGGAATAACAGGAAAAGTCGGTCGATGGATCTATAATTTCCTCACTAACAGAACACAGAGAGTAGTCGTCAACAGGGTAAAGTCCGAGGCAGCTACGGTGAAAAGCTTTGTTCCACAAGGCACAGTACTCGCTCCCATCTTGTTCCTCATCCTCATATCCGACATAGACAAGGATGTCAGCCACAGCACCGTGTCTTCCTTTGCAGATGACACCCGAATCTGCATGACAGTGTCTTCCATTGCAGACACTGCAAGGCTCCAGGCGGACATCAACCAAATCTTTCAGTGGGCTGCAGAAAACAATATGAAGTTCAACGATGAGAAATTTCAATTACTCAGATATGGTAAACACGAGGAAATTAAATCTTCATCAGGGTACAAAACAAATTCTGGCCACAAAATAGAGCGAAACACCAACGTCAAAGACCTGGGAGTGATCATATCGGAGGATCTCACCTTCAAGGACCATAACATTGTATCAATCGCATCTGCTAGAAAAATGACAGGATGGATAATGAGAACCTTCAGAACTAGGGATGCCAAGCCCATGATGACACTCTTCAGGTCACTTGTTCTATCTAGGCTGGAATATTGCTGCACACTAACATCACCTTTCAAGGCAGGTGAAATTGCTGACCTAGAAAATGTACAGAGAACCTTCACGGCGCGCATAACGGAGATAAAACTCCTCAATTACTGGGAGCGCTTGAGGTTCCTAACCCCTCAAGGGAGGTTCCTTGACGCTGGTGAGGGGCTCTTGATCTAGGGAATTGGATCTGTGCTCCAGTTCCCTGAATTTAGCCTGAATACCTTCCATCCCTCCCCCTCCCCCACATGCGTTGTATAATCCTAAGGGTTTAGCGCTCCCACATGATTATAATAATTGAGGTTCCTAAACCTGTATTCCCTGGAACGCAGGCGGGAGAGACACATGATTATATACACCTGGAAAATCCTAGAGGGACTAGTACCGAACTTGCAGACGAAAATCACTCGCTACGAAAGCAAAAGACTTGGCAGACGGTGCAACATCCCCCCAATGAAAAGCAGGGGTGTCACTAGCACGTTAAGAGACCATACAATAAGTGTCAGGGGCCCGAGACTGTTCAACTGCCTCCCAGCATACATAAGGGGGATAGCCAACAGACCCCTGGCAGTCTTCAAGCTGGCACTGGACAAGCACCTAAAGTCGGTTCCTGACCAGCCGGGCTGTGGCTCGTTCGTTGGTTTGCGTGCAGCCAGCAGTAACAGCCTGGTTGATCAGGCTCTGATCCACCAGGAGGCCTGGTCACAGACCGGGCCGCGGGGGCGTTGACCCCGGAACTCTCTCCAGGTAAACGCCAGGTAATATAATATATATATATATATATATATATATATATATATATATATATATATATATATATATATATATATATATGTGTGTGTGTGTGTCTGTGTGTGTGACGAGCGAAATTATTTACAAACATTATCTCTTAGTCCAGAAGAGAGGGCTCGAACCTGCGCACTCTGCGTCAAAATACATAGTACTGTCGCCACACAGCCAGACACAGGTATGGTTGTCTTGCCGAAACTGTTGTAACCCGCCCGCTGGAGTACCAGACCTGTGATACGTTATTTCATCTAATCCTATCAAACGAGATTTTATGAAATACAACAAGCCTGGTGCTCCGAGGTATAAAATACACCGTCTAGCTTCGCCCATACTTATCTGGGGTCTGGATGTACGACGTAAGTAATGTGTACTTTGATGTACAGTTCGCAGGTTCGAATGCTGATCTGGACTGAGAGATAATGTTTATTAATACATATACATAAATAACGACATAGGTTATTTGTCAGCAAGTATGGCGACCCAAACAAAGAAGGTGTGTGAATATGTTGAAGATAGTCACTATCATCCTCACTCATCCTTTAGAGTCCAGGTATTGTTGTTCCAATAACCAGGGAAGAATATTTTGTTGGGATTAATAGCCCGGAGTGTTAGTAAGTTTATTCAGGTATACACAAATAGTTACATAGATTATCATACATAGCAGCATATGTGTAGAGAACCTGGAATAACCCAGGATAACCCAGTGAAGTCAGGGCTTCGTCAGACTGGCTTATTTCCAATGAGGTCTAGTAATCCTCTCCCCCAGGTAGCGACCCACACCAGTCCCCTAGCATCAGAGTAGCTAGCAACAGGTGTCAAGCAACATGCCCATCTTTTGTGATAGTCAGAGGATCGAACCCTGGTGCATCACTTGTGAGCTGAAGCCGCTACCAAGTGAGCCACGAGCACCTACAAGAATCCTCCAGAATCCTTAAATGTTAACTAGGTCGTACTCTGGCATCACATCTTCACTCGATCCATTATGCTCACACATGCCTGCTGGGCGCTCAAGCCTCACCACTCAAAGCCTTCTTCACTCCATCCCTCACCGGTTTAGCGTTTCTTCACTGGCCACAGTGAAGCAAGCGAAGGGTAGAGTCCTTCTCACTCCGGATCACAACCATGATAGATAAAACACAACGGCAGTAGCTAGGTCAGAGGGGAGTTGTTTACCGTGTGAGGCTGGCAACCCACACAAGGTTCATCAAGGTTCTGCCTCACCTTACTAACGGGGAAGAGATCTGTGTTCTGATTAACCTCGGAGGGTCTGGCAGAACAAGTATAATCTAAGAAAGTCATTTACATCAGTCGACTAAAATTTAGGATTATGTATTACTAAGAGAACTAACATGGGTTAAAATACATGCACGTATATCTCTTCCTGTCCAGGTTCATTTAGTTGTGAGATGAACCCATTACATCACTAGAACTGAAAACTGTAATAGTTATTACCTAGGTAAACACACTGCAGGTGTGACAGTAGGTTATCCATAGGGCCTTACACTCGCTTGTACCTTATACAACCTATCCTCCAGTATAAATATCTAATAATCCTTCCATTATAGCAATAACGTAGCCTCTTATATTGGTTAGTGAAGGTTAAAGAAAATAAACTTCGTGTAAACGAACGCAATCTACAATACTAATATTTAATTTGGGCCACGGTTTAGATCGGGCAGAAATTGGCGCATTGGAACAAGTTGGAAAATAAACATGATGTTTTGAGGAGAGAGTGACTAATTAATGTGGCAGGTCAGCCAAGAAGACCCCAAGTCTGTCTCCCACAAGTATTTAGCCCACCCACCCGTTACATAGTGAAGCAAGAGTATGTACACTGAAAGATGTGTATATCTCAGTGTATGTATACCGAGTGTGTTGGTGTATGTACACTGAAAGATTGTATCTCTCAGTATATGTACACTGATTATATAAATCACTAGTTATAATAATATCTGTATTTACTACCAGTACATATACAAGGTATACAGACCATAGCTGACATCAGTAACATACTACTATATAGAAAGCTCCTTGTTATTGAGCATTTCCCGTAAATTAGGTCAGTTTTGTCCCAGGATGCGACCCACACTAGTCCACTAACACCCAGGTACCCATTTTACTGATGGGGAACATAGACACCCGGTGTAAAGAAACATGCCCACGCTGGGAGTCGAACCTTGACCCTCGCCTTGTGACGCGAGGGCTTTTGCCACCAGGCCATGGGTCACCGTAGCCATCAGGCCACGTAAGCATCCCTCATTGGTGGTATACATGCAATCTCACAGGCGACAGACTTTAAGCCTAATACAGCAACCAAGATAGGGAGGCAGTGTCTGGGTAAGCAAGCTTCAGAGAACAGCGTAAGTTGCTGTAAGAGCTTCAGTTCAGGTAGAGTATCAGGTTTATTGAGCAAGGAACCCACAGTCACCAGTCTACAGTGGTCGAGGCCTCAACACTGGCTGGCAAGTCGCTTGCAAGTTTCTCTGGCAAATGGGTAGACTTCTGCTAGGCTCCTGAAGTTAGAGACGTCATGTCTACCGGTACAGCGGGGCTATAAGCTCCTGAAGTTAGAGACGTCATGTCTACCGGTACAGCGGGGCTATAAGCTCCTGAAGTTAGAGACGTCATGTCTACCGGTACAGCGGGGCTATAAGGAGTTACGACCGTAACGACGAACACGAAACAGACTTTTATAACTGGGACCTAATTTACATATACATAAAACATTTTTATAAACGAATCTCGGGTTCAAACCATTGTGCATGAATTCCAAACTTAAATTTGTTCGAAAAGCAATTAAATTTCGACACAATTCCCAAACATTTCAAGGAAAGTTTTAAGTATCTGGTGATGAGGTCATGACAGCTTAACTCTCAGGCAGAGTCGTAAATGCTCTAAATTTAAGCTTTCTGCTATTGTTTATGTAAGTTTCATAAAGCTTGTGTGATCTGGCTGTGAATAAGAAAACAATACCGTAGGAGGAACACTTGACAAATAACTTGCACTAAGAGGGGACCGTCATGACGGTCCGGTCATGACGGTCCGGTCATGACGGTCCGGTCATGACGGTCCGGTCATGACGATCCAGTCATGACTGTGTGGGGGTCAAGTCAAGTAAAAAGACACGAGTGCAACTGATGTGACATTTTATTGTGGCAACGTTTCGCTCACCAGGAGCTTTGTCAAGCCGTTACAAAGGTGCTGGAGAGCGAAATGTTGTGAATATAAAATGTCGCATTAGTTGCACTTGTGTCCTTTTACCTATTAATAAATTGTCAAGTCACACCTGGGACAAGAAATGTAGAGATTGTCACCCTGAGTAGAAGACACCAGGTCCCTAGGTCCGCTGACAAAGATCAGGGGACACGTAAGTCCACACTTTTCCCCGCCTTGTTCTTCATGCAGACTGCAATCCATAATTTTTTCCAAGGTGGGTCACCAAGTTGTATGTAATAATGCAACTCACCACACAAGACATGTAGCTGATAACTGTGGGACTGATAATCTTAAACTATTTCTGTAAGACTGATGGACTGATTACATTCAACATAGGTATGTTGTTGCCAGCAGGTAACAGCAGCGGTACCCGTGGCGAGGAACTGGACCAGCTGGACCACCTCTTGGCTGAACTCACACCCTGGACTGTCAAGCAAGCCTCGAAGCGCCAGTACCAGCCCCAACCCTACCAATACCAACAGTTTCCCTCTTACTGCCCCGGCTACACTCCCAATTGTCCCTCAGCATGCCCTGCCAACCCTGGTTGCCCATTATGTCCTGTCAACCCTCCTTGCCCAGCATGCCCTAACGTCCCTTCGTGTCCGACATTATCCCCACCCCCGCCAGTTCCGCCGTGTCCAACATACTCTCCATGTCCGGAATGTCCGGTAACTCCAATCAGCTGCCCTCCTGGCCCTAAAGGATTTCCAGGTCCTCCTGGTCCATCGTGTACAGGGCTGCCAGGGCCTCCAGGACCCCCAGGTCATGGTATTCCAGGGCCCCCAGGTAATCCAGGTCTACCTGGTAGATGCGAGTCAAGCTGCCCCTCACCTCAACCGCCCCATAACTGTGGTAATCAAGATCTGTTCGCTATCATCATCAGTCTTATCTCTAACAGAAGCTGCTGTGACCACAGCTGTCCCGTGAGTGTCTTAGCATCTGTTGTTTACACCATATCTACAGTATATCTATCCGTTGTGTATATGTTTACACCATATCCATTCGTTGTTTACATTATCCGTTTACAGCATGTATATAGTTTGTTTACAGCATGACTATTCGTTTACATATGTGTATCTGTTGTTTGCACCATGTCCATCTGTTTACACCATGTCCATTCATTGTTTATATGTCTGTCCGTATACAGCATGTCTATCCATTGTATTCAGGATGACTGGCATGTCTCATGACTGATACAAGAATACAACATGTATATACCATACAATTATCGTGTACAATAAGCCATGATGGTGATACAGAAGTCATCAACGGGCCTTTAGGCTTATTCCAATAATTTATTTTGCATATCAAATTCTGGTTAATTATTATTATAATCAAGGGGGAAGCGCTAAACCCGGAGGATTATACAGCGCCTGGGGGGGGATGTGGAAGGCATTCAGGCTTAATTCGGGGAACTGGAGCACAGATCCAATTCCCTAAATCAAGAGCCCCTCACCAACATCAAGGAACCTTCCTTGAGGGGAAATTCTGGTTAAGAATAGAAAAATGAGGAACATTGCAGTAGGTCTATCGGCCTATACTAAATAGATCTTGTTGATTATAATCAAAGCGCTAAACCGACAAGGGTCATGCAGACAGGTCTTGTTCAAAATTATATAAAATACCAAGATTAAGACACATGTGCAGCTGTTGTGTATCTTTGTTGATGAAACGTTACGCCTACACGGTAGACTTCATCAGTCACATACGAAGTATTTGAGGTGGTCAGTCCCTCAGCTTGGAGAAGAGTTCAGTGACTACCTCAACACTAAGTCTTCAAGGGTGATGGAGTGATAACATCGTCTTCACATCTCTGCTGCTTCCTCTGTACTCGACTGATAAAGCCAACTGTGTAGGCGAAACGTTTCGGAATAAAGATACCTGACTGTTGTACCTGTGTCTTATCAACCCGTCAGTATGGTTTACCGTTTTGGTATTAACACATTTGATGTTCATCTCGCACTGACAGTCACTGTCTTGCATCAACAGTGACTGACAGTCACTGTCTTGCGTGACCAGTGGCTGACCAGGTCACCTGTGCCCTGCCAGACATCAGGTCATGGTGTATCCAAAATTTCGAAAAAAAAGACGTATTGGTAATTATTTTTTTAATCTATACAGTATTATAAAAACTTTGTGTTATTTAAAATGTGAATATAAACTTAAATACAATAGGCATAATACAAACACAATTTCAAACATCAGAATCGGACATCAGGTTGTACTCGTACAGACAAGCTGCAGCAACCACGATAAATGTATATACCAGTAACTTCACTTTTTAAAAGATGTTATTGGCCGTCATAACAATACTGAGGAAATAAGCTGGTAGACACTCCGAACATAATGCGCCACAACAGTGGGTGTCCAGAGATACCAGTCTCTCTCCCACAACAGTGGGTGTCCAGAGATAGCAGTCTCTCTCCCACAACAGTGGGTGTCCAGAGATAGCAGTCTCTCTCCCACAACAGTGGGTGTCCAGAGATACCAGTCTCTCTCCCACAACAGTGGGTGTCCAGAGATACCAGTCTCTCTCCCACAACAGTGGGTGTCCAGAGATACCAGTCTCTCCCACAACAGTGGGTGTCCAGAGATACCAGTCTCTCTCCCACAACAGTGGGTGTCCAGAGATACCAGTCTCTCTCCCACAACAGTGGGTGTCCAGAGATACCAGTCTCTCTCCCACAACAGTGGGTGTCCAGAGATACCAGTCTCTCTCCACACAACAGTGGGTGTCCAGAGATACCAGTCTCTCTCCCACAACAGTGGGTGTCCAGAGATACCAGTCTCTCTCCCACAACAGTGGGTGTCCAGAGATACCAGTCTCTCTCCCACAACAGTGGGTGTCCAGAGATACCAGTCTCTGCCACAACAGTGGGCGTCCAGAGATACCAGTCTCTCTCTCACAACAGTGGGTGTACAGAGATACCAGTCTCTCTCCCACAACAGTGGGTGTCCAGAGATAGCAGTCTCTCTCCCACAACAGTGGGTGTCCAGAGATACCAGTCTCTCTCCCACAACAGTGGGTGTCCAGAGATACCAGTCTCTCTCCCACAACAGTGGGTGTCCAGAGATACCAGTCTCTCTCCCACAACAGTGGGTGTCCAGAGATACCAGTCTCTCTCCCACAACAGTGGGTGTCCAGAGATACCAGTCTCTCTCCCACAACAGTGGGTGTCCAGAGATACCAGTCTCTCTCCCACAACAGTGGGTGTCCAGAGATACCAGTCTCTCTCCCACAACAGTGGGTGTCCACAGATACCAGTCTCTCCCACAACAGTGGGTGTCCACAGATACCAGTCTCTCTCCCACAACAGTGGGTGTCCAGAGATACCAGTCTCTCTCCCACAACAGTGGGTGTCCAGAGATACCAGTCTCTCTCACAACAGTGGGTGTACAGAGATACCAGTCTCTCTCCCACAACAGTGGGTGTCCAGAGATACCAGTCTCTGCCACAACAGTGGGCGTCCAGAGATACCAGTCTCTCTCTCACAACAGTGGGTGTACAGAGATACCAGTCTCTCTCCCACAACAGTGGGTGTCCAGAGATACCAGTCTCTCTCCCACAACAGTGGGTGTACAGAGATACCAGTCTCTCTCCCACAACAGTGGGTGTCCAGAGATACCAGTCTCTCTCCCACAACAGTGGGTGTCCAGAGATACCAGTCTCTCTCCCACAACAGTGGGTGTCCAGAGATACCAGTCTCTCTCCCACAACAGTGGGTGTCCAGAGATACCAGTCTCTCTCCCACAACAGTGGGTGTCCAGAGATACCAGTCTCTCTCCCACAACAGTGGGTGTACAGAGATACCAGTCTCTCTCCCACAACAGTGGGTGTACAGAGATACCAGTCTCTCTCCCACAACAGTGGGTGTCCACAGATACCAGTCTCTGCCACAACAGTGGGTGTCCAGAGATACCAGTCTCTGCCACAACAGTGGGTGTCCAGAGATACCAGTCTCTCCCACAACAGTGGGTGTCCAGAGATACCAGTCTCTCCCACAACAGTGGGTGTCCAGAGATATCAGTCTCTCCCACAACAGTGGGTTTCCAGAGATACCAGTCTCTCTCCCACAACAGTGGGTGTCCAGAGATACCAGTCTCTCCTACAACAGTGGGTGTCCAGAGATACCAGTCTCACCCCCACAACAGTGGATGTCCAAAAACACTAATCTCACCCTCATAACAGTGGGTGTCCGGAGATACCAGTCTCACTCCCACAACAGTGGGTGTCCAGAGATACCAATCTCACCCCCACAACAGTGGGTGTCCAGAAACTAATCTCACCCCCACAACAGTGGGTGTCCAGAAACTAATCTCACCCCCACAACAGTGGGTGTCCAGAAACGAATCTCACCCCCACGGCAGTGGGTGTCCAGAAACTAATCTCACCCCCACAACAATGGGTGTCCAGAAACTAATCTCACCCCCACAACAGTGGGTGTCCAGAAACTAATCTCACCCCCACAACAGTGGGTGTCCAGAAGCACTAATATCACCCCCACAACAGTGGGTGTCCAGAAACACTACTCTCGCCCCCACAACAGTGAGTGTCCAGAAAAACTAATTTCACCCCTACAACAGTGAGTGTCCAGAAACACTAATCTCACCCCCACAACAGTGGGTGTCCAGAAACACTCCCAACATTTATTCATATTCTGTTATATAATATTTTATAGTGAGTTTTTGTCACTTGTGAGTGAGATAAGAGAGAAGAAGTTTGTTTTGTCTGGGTGATGACAGGTGGAGCCAGAGGAGTGCCCATGGGACATCTCTCTGATCGTGCCCAAGTACTTCCTTGTGAAGGAGAAGATTGACCTCATCGCCAAGCTCAACACCAGGATTGACCTGCTGGTGGCTGCTATACTACGCATGCGCGTCGTTGTGGATAGAGGTTAGTAGTGCTTCAGGAAGGTCGGTCAAGTGTGCGAAGTGGATTTTTAAATTAGTATTAGTGCTCGCTAGAATACCTCACTGGGGAGGATGGTATTACCAATGTTGATAGTGATTAATATAATGCAATATCTGTAAGAATGTAAGAGTCATAGTTGGGAAGGGTAATGCTGAAGTCAAGGTACAGATCAAGGACACCTCCGTAGATGTATGGGTTAAAGATCACCTATAATTTGCACATTATCATGACTATCAGTATCAAGATTTGTTTTCTATTGTGATTACTAAATTGCAAGCTTCCAGTGTTTGTGTCTTCCATTGTAATCTTCCACAATATGAGTAGGTTCAGACTGAGCGCAAGTTGGTGGCTCCATATAATTAAACTTATCAGCAGAAGAATGCAAATTAAATATGTTTAAGACAAAGCTCGCTACATAAATCTTAACACTGTGGTACTGAAGCAACCTCGGTGTTTCCCGCTTGAAAGTGATTCATGGGGAAATTATTTTTTTACTATACAGGAGGCAAGAGTTAATTGATTTTAAGTTATATGTAACACAAGAGGGTAACTTAGGGGGATATTACAGGGATTCTACACTCTTGTAGACTCGCAATATTAATGAGTTCAGTGGCTGCTTTGTGCTGTGATACTCAGGACTTAGAACCAGAATACCTGGTTTTAAGTCCTGGGTATCACAGCATCAAGTCTCTTAGTATAAAAGTAAGATTTACTGACATATTGGTCTGCATGTCACGGCTCAAAGTAATTTTTAAGTGTGCTTCCATTATTGACTCCTCGTCTGCTTGTTGTCGTAGAATCTCTGAGTTCTGTTTTACTGTGAATATACAACTTGTGCCACACTGGCATCTCCCTCGCCATCATCTACATCTTAATATAAATAACACGTTGAGCAGCATTTTCGTTATTAACATTATTTGCAGAAGCCACGTAGTATTCTTTGTATTGGGGAAATTTAAGCTTTGGTTGAAATAATTTCTGCTACATCAGCTTCATACGGTGCTTCAACAGCTGCCTGATTGAAGCTTCGGACCATATAATCTTCCGAAGCCATACCCGACCCAGCCGACAGTATGATGAATGAGAGCTGGCCAGGTTCATGGCCTAGCGCGGGAGCCAGGTCTGGGCCAGCTGAGCCTGACAACTGACTGATGGATGACTCAGCTGGGCGGATGGTGTCAGCACAAGCAACATCGCCTGTCGAAAGTAGAAGTGACGGAGCTCTGGCGAAGTGCTCCCTGGGTTGCCTACATAACCCCCAGTATTTGAACCATGACCTATTATTTAGACTCGTGAACATCGTTATGGGATGACCTCCGGTCACTCACCATGGCAGAGTCCATGGGTGCCCTCGTGGGAACTTCCTGGGCTAACACACTAGGTCAGCCCCAGGTGCATATGGCAGGGAAAGTCGCTGCGTGGAATACAGTCTTCCATCCACGGGACGTACCAGGGAGGCCGGAGGTCTCAGGACTGGTTGCGATGCTGCGGTCCAGCTCTTCAGAGCAGTCAGCAGCACACTGCTGATGTATCAATTTTTTTGTTACCTGGAGTATACCTGGAGAGGGTCTCAGGTGTCAACGTCCCCGTGACCCGATCTGTGACCAGTCCTCGCGGTGGATCAGGACCTGATCAACCAGGCTGTTAAAAAGAACAAAGTATGTGATGCTTCGACTCTCTGGGTCTAACAGTTGAAACATTTAATAGACACGGCCTAACATTTTTTTTTATCATGTGTTATCAGGTGTCAACAAACTTTTCACCAACGTGGCTGGAAGAACATTTCTCAGCAGCGAGCGCTGCTGAGAAATGTTCTTCCAGCCACGTTGGTGGAACATTGAATCATTTGGATTAGTTTACCCGAAATGCATTACATGTTAGCGGGTTACTGTTCCTGCCAGTGTTTTAGTACATGTAAACTACATTATTTGTATAACATAAAGAAATAAAAATTATATTTTGTGTGGAAAATCTAGCCAGTAAATACCTGAGTGAATATCCTCTTCAGTAGAGTGAATATCCCCTTCAGTAGAGTGAATATCCCCTTCAGTAGAGTGAATATCCCCTTCAGTAGAGTGAACATCCTCTTCAGTAGAGTGAACATCCTCTTCAGTAGAGTGAATACCCCCTTCAGTAGAGTGAATATCCCCTTCAGTAGAGTGAATATCCCCTTCAGTAGAGTGAATATCCCCTTCAGTAGAGTGAATATCCCCTTCAGTAGAGTGAATATCCCCTTCAGTAGAGTGAATATCCCCTTCAGTAGAGTGAATATCCCCTTCAGTAGAGTGAATATCAGTAGTGATGATTTCTACAGAGCGGTCCCTTCTACAGAGCGGTCCCTTCTACAGAGCGGTCCATTTCCTGAGCGGTCCCTTCTACAGAGCGGTCCATTCCTGAGCGGTCCCTCCTGAAAAGGGCTGCGGCTGAGCGGTCTCCTTTTCACACCTATATGCTAATGACCTTGACCTCACCCTCGAGACCACCTCGCCCTCGATACCACCTCGCCCTCGAGACCACCTCACCCTCAACCCCCCACCCACGACCCCCACCCGCGCCCCCCGCACCCCCGCCCTCGCGCCGACCCACCCGCCTGCTGCGCCCTCGTGCCTGCCCGCGCCACCCGCGCCCATCGCGCCCGCCCGCGCCACCCGCGCCCATCGCTCCCACCCGTGCCCTCGCGCCCGCCCGCGCCTTCTGCAGCGTCGTCCAGATCGCCCCCGCTGCCCGAATTTTTCTCCGATTTTTTTTTTTTTTCAAATTTTTTTTGAATTTCATTTTCTTGTGCACTCCATCTCCTCGGATCAAATTTTTCTCGAAATCAATAATACAAAGATTTTCCCCCCACACCATCCCCATCCCAATTTTTTTCGAATTTCATTTTCATATGATCTCCTCGGATCAAGTTTTTTGGATTCCCCCCTCTGGGGGTAAGCATTCAAAATGGACTCCCACTTTCACCCCAATTTTTTTTTTCTCGATAATACAAAGACTCCATCTCCTTGGATCAAATTTTTGGGTACCCCTCCTTCCACCCCCAAATTCCCTGCTCCAATTCCTCGGATCAAATTTTTCTCGAAATCAAAGTCTCCATCTCCTTGGATCAAGGTTTTCTCATCCATCTCCTCGGATCGAGTTTTTGGATTCTCCCCTCTGGGGGGTAAGCATTCAAATGAACTCCTCCTATGGGGCATGGTACTTTCTCTTACTACAGGTCTAAACAAGTGTGACGTCACCCCACCTGTGTTTACTCGGCGGTCAGTGACGTCACGTGATAACCTCACACATAAAGGCTGAATCTTGTCGACTTCCCCCTACACATTTTTCACTCTTAACCCAGGATAACCCAAATAATTTCACATTTTTTTTTCGTTAATACCCACAACAATCCACAATTTCTTTACAAAGTACAACACAAGTCTAGACATTTTTCTCGTTTTAACTATTTCATCAGAAAAAGTCACCACAACACTTACAACTTATAACCACTTTTCGATAAATTCACTAGTCACAATTTTACATATTACGAAGTTAATATGCGCGCACACACACACACACACACACACACACCTCACTTTACTTTGAACACCTTCAAAACACACTCATAAATCATTGAATAGTCACAAAAATACCTTTGAACATTTCCAAACAACACTGAAACACTTCCAAGACAACATTTTGAATACTCCCAAATAAGATTTGACAGCTCAAATTTTATCTACACTTACATATTTCATTAAATTACAACTCATCCCCCAAAACTCCTCCCTCATTCTCCAAAGATTTTTACAAACAGTATCACAAAAACTAACTCAAACACTTTACTTTGAGCAACACCAAAAACACCATCAATTACCTTTGAATACTCCAAAAACATCATTCGAAACAGCCAATCTCCACTAAATTTACTCCCAGAACACGTTCATAAATACTCTTGCCACTTATTTGAACACCTTCAAAATACCTTTGAATAGTCTCAAACCAACCATTTGAGTATACTAATACACCATGAATTCAGTCAAAACACCACCAAAATCACCATAAACTAAGATCAACATAACAGACTAACCCCCAATTTCACACAAACCCCCTCAAATCCTATAACCAAGACGATTACCAATTTCTATGAGTACACTCTCATCCAACAAAGATATAACATGAACACAAACCAAACACACACGAACACTTACAACATAACATGAGCACTATAACATATCACCATCAAAAAAAAAAAAAATAATACACAGACACCCACAACTTATACATTTCAATCACAAATTTAAGACATGAGACATACACACCAAATCTAAAACATTCACCTCCAACTAAGACATACACATCTTAACTAAGACATACACCAAAACCTATACTTGACATATTGGGGTTATGAATATTCATCCCCCATTTATTTTTGCATATCACATTCCTCATCCACATCATCCCTGAAACATCCTTTCTTATTCATTCCGTATATCTCTTAGAGATATTTTAACCCCAACGGCCCATCACGACGTAGGAGCCAGAGTGTAGAAGGTGGTGTTGGAGTGGTGATGGTTGCTCTGGCTCCTACGTCGTGATGGACCGTCGGGGTTAAAATATCTCTAAGAGATATACGGATGAATAAGGAAGGATGTTTTAGGGATGATGTGGATGAGGAATGTGATATGTAACATAAATGGGGTATGAATATTCATACCGCAATATGTCAAGTATAGGTTTTGGTGTATGTCTTAGTTAAGATGTGTATGTCTTAGTTGGAGGTGAATGTCTTAGATTTGGTGTGTATGTCTCATGTCTTAAATTTGTGATTGAAATGTATAAGTTGTGGGTGTCTGTGTTTTTATTTTTTTTTGTGTGTGTGATGGTGATATGTTATAGTGCTCATGTTATGTTATAGATGTTGGTGGAAGTGTTGTGGTATTTTTGTGTATGTCTTATTTTTGTGGGAATGTTTAAAAAATAAGTGGTTTTCAGTGATCATAGTA